TATTAGATTAAAAGGCAAAATACTGGAAAACAACAATGCTGTGGGAAACAATGGCTGGATCTCAGTAGAGATACAAAAATGATAAGCAACAGCTAAAAAGTAAACGTAAGTAAACAGCCAGAAATAGAACCAGAGCTTTCGGACAACACTAGTCCTTCCTCAGTGGCGAGTCAGTGAGGGTAGAAAAAGCTAGATGGTATAAAGTGAGAATTTCATGCAAGCATGATTGGAAACAATAGGCTGGGAGAGATTAGAATGAACAGCCTAAACAAGTAAACAGGAAGGCCAAAACTAAACTTTAGAGGCAAGCCTCAATAAATAAGCCAAATGATTTATCCAGAATAAATTGAAATGCCATTGGTTTAATCATGGAGGTATTATAGTGTACCTCCATGGTTTAATTTAGTGTACTGGGAGAACGTTCCTAATATTGAGTCCAAATGGTGTGGTTGTTTTAAGTAAAAGTTCCCAGTGATTCTCTTTATCTTTGCGATTTTTGTCGCTCCAACTGGCATTATGGTCAATTGCAATCACTCTGAAATTTGAAATTGAATGACCAGCTAAATTGAAATGTTCCAGCTAAATTGAAATATATATACTGTATATATATATATATATATATATATTGGGGCATTTATTAAAAAACAAAATTATGTAAACATTAATATTTTTTATGTTTACTACAGGCAAAGATACATCCATGAATATGGGAGAATCAGAAGGTAAATTGGTTGTCTTTTATTATATTTAAATAGTCCAGCAAAATATAAAGTTTACTGTAGTATGGACATCAACCATTCATACATTTATAATTTATTGTTACACGTTATTGTTCTGTGCAGAAATATATTAGAACCCCTCCATTCAACATATATATATATATATATACATATATATATGTTATAAATCAAAGGTACATATACCATCATGTCCAATATTGTAACACTGTATATGTACCTTTGATGATTTATAATATAATATATTTAACAGTGTTAACGGCTAACTTCCTTAAACATATTATGTAATTTATTATTTAATTTCAGAATCTGATGATGATGACAACAATCTCATAATCAAAAGGACACAGACAAGTAACACAGGTAGGTGACTAATAATATGATGCAATGATTTGGGTGCTACCTGTTTTGTCACAGTCCACACCAAGAAAATAACAACAAAGTTTGCAAACAATGTCACTTTTATAAAGGTGACGTAAAGTCCAAAACAAGGGATAGCTTATTTTCTGTCATGTACCTACTGTACCATAAACACGACTATGATATCAATTATATGGTAGCACTATTACGATATGTATCCATCTTTATGTGTTGAATGGAGTGATAGGTTTGTACTCTAGAGCTGTAGCTTAGTGTAAGGTGCTCACCTTCCAATCCCAGGGTCCTGGCTTTGAATCCTTTCTGTGCCAAGGTTTTTCTTGCTTGGGTCAGCGTGGCCAGGCGTTGCTCAAGATGTCCCGAAAAATATGACAATTTAGGGGATTCAGAAGCTTATGTATTAGATTTTATAGATAGTCTACCAATATTATTATGTAGAAAATATATACGGTGAAACAAATTATATTGTTTAGAATAATAATACAGTATTTATTTAGGTGCACATATCTTGGGATATTTATTTATTATATAATATTGCTCCAGAGAATGTATGTTTAAACCCTGTGGCTTTCTGTAGTTTTCCACTGACCAATTTGATTGAATTTTAAATCGTTTCTGGACATCTGTTAATAATATAGTTCAATTATTTGATTTTCAGAGACTGATGCCATAGGTAAAAGAAGACAGTGTACAAGAGGTAAGCATTGTGGATTTCTCTGTAAGCTTAATTTATGAAGTAATTTAAATTATGAATTGACCACTTTAGTATAATCTTAATTTGGTGAACCAAATGTGGATATAAAGTATTTACTTTCAAAACAAGCTTCTTTACGACGAATAATAAAGAGGGGAGATTCATGATAAAGGTTAGTGGTGGAAAGAGGAGAGTCAAGTAACAATCATATGAATCTATGTAATATGGTGAAAACTTTATATATTATAACATAGCCATCAGTTTCGATAATTTATTTGTTACGACACGTTCCAAGAAACCCACAATGAAAACTGTAAAGGCACTTTGTAAGAGCTGTTTAAACAATGGTGTTTATTTTTGTTAACCAGTAAAAAATGACAAAATCAAATGATGAATACAGGTGTGGTTTCATTTGTTTTAACACTTGCCTGCACATTTCCAATTATATCTTTTTAATAATAAAATGGATAATAAATCTTGATGATTTATATTTCTTATTATTTTTTCCCCTTCTGTTTTGTGAAAAGCTTCTAGACCCTATACCAGATGGTCTAAGCAAAACACAACAATTGTTGTTAAATACTTCAGGAAATGGATTGATGGTGACTGTCTTCCAAGTAAGTTTACTATAATTTAAAGTATTTTTTAATGTATTTTTTGTTGTTTGAAACTTATGGATAATTCTATAAAACCTAAATTTTTAGTTTGTTGTCCATGTGACCCAAATTTTGGTAAGTAGAAATACTGCTAATATCCGATTAATAGACATTGTCAACACCACATTTAACAGGTTTTAATAAAGAAGTCGTGCTACATACATACTAAATGTCAGTCAATAAATTAAAGTGGTTTTATCTTTGTTGGCTCCTCCGTAATTTATTCTCAATTATTAATGTAAAATACATGGACTACATTCTAAAAAGTTAAAATATAAATATCGTATGTATTCCAACCTTGAATAAACACCCCAGGGCGTTTATTTTTTCCTCGAATACACCCCTCCAATGATTGTAAAAAATCTAACAAAGCCATATCGTTCTCCCTCAAATTAATACCCTCAAAACCATTTCTCAACAATAAAAGCCATGGGCCGTTTATTCAAATAGATATGTTATGCTTCTTTTTATAGCTGCATGGTTGTAGTTTCTTCTCAAAAGATTTCTTACTCCAGTAGGCTTACGCTTAATAAGTCTCAATTTAATTCAAGTTTATTCTATACAGGTCGTGTTTCTGCAGATTTATTTTAACTTTAATCATTGACATTTTTTAATGTTGGGCAATACAAATTACCCTTTCTGATTCGGCAGTACAGGCCTGAAGCAATGATACAAGAAGTATACACACATATTCTTGGAAGCAGTGTATGTTTAAATTATATATTGTTTACATTATGCGATATGTTGTTTCTGGGTTTATTCCATTTTCCTGTCAAATTATATACATTATATATTTAAGTAATGTTCTATTTTTCATCCATATTTAGGAAAGAAAGAAATCCAACTGTTTATGACGAGAAATCCGACTCTCAAAGTAACTAGCTGGCAGGTGATCCGTACAAAGGTGTTAAATGAGCAGCGTGCTGCAAATAAGCGCCTGCAAAAACATCTTAGAAATGTTCAAGAATAAAGATCAATAAGAAAGTACTTATAATCAAGTATTAGTATTGTTCAAAGCTTTAGTGATATTGATTACTGTACTTCCATACGGTTAATGTTACAGATATTTGGTGGATGCTGAAAACTTTTTTGAGATTTGTATATTTAATGGTGGATTTAATTTCACCTGGGTGATTGTTGTTGCTATTTAGTTGTGGCCTTGCTCAAAACTGTTGTTTTGAGCAGGGCTACAACTGATCAGCGGTGGTAGGCTTTGATGGAATCGGGTCTATAATTAAATACTTAATTAAGGTGTTTTTGTTTTATTACCAGTGAAATTAGGCAATGACAGCAAAGTTTGTTTCCAACCCATTATGAGAAGCCACCCTATTCAAATGATTTTATCGCAAAACATTTTTAGTTTTACTTTTTGTGGATGCTGCAGCGTTTTGTTGTATGAATAAATACATATTTTAGAATATGTATAGTACAGTTATCCCAGGAGTAAAAGAAAAAGTTGTTATAATAAATTTCTCATTCAGGTTGTATAGGAGTTGTATTGTGTTAATTTATTATGCGTGTATTATAAAACGTATTTCAAATAATGCTATATTCATATTATAGTACAGTATTGTTTAGAAAATCCCTTCATTCACCAACAGCATATCAGTTTAAAACATATTTTGAAAATAAAAAAAGCTTTAACTTCGATAAAAGTATCACATGTATACATTAGTTACTTTTATTTTATTTGAAATGTAATCTAGATTAGATGAAAAATATGAATGAAAGAGGAATGACAACAAGGATGGGTGACTTGCACGAAAGAAAAAAATATATCGCTCTAATCAAATGATGTATGTGATTTAATTGCCTAAGCTACTAACAGATGATAACTGCTTATTCGATTACATTTATAGGCCTAAATCTCTGTCAAATGTACAGTATACAGTTGTACCCCTAAGAGGACACCTTCAGGACCAAAATATGTGTCCCCTTAATAGGGCTGTCCCCTGAATAGCTATAACTATAACATACATACATTCTTTATAATTTTATTTTTATTAACATAGAATCATTTACAGTAAAATATCTAATTTTTAGCAATAATTTGAATCAGCAGAAATGTAATTAAAACAATAGTTAAATATAGATATGTTCCCAATATTGCTTCATTATGAAACAATAATGAACAAATATTCTTTTTTTTTTAAATATTGAGCTTTCCATTAAATCAAAGTTTCATATGGTTTGAAATATTATAATGTGATTAATATGTGTGTAATATATATGCGAAATGTCCTGAAAAGGTAAACAAATACTGGTTTATTTACAAATAACAACAACCACAGCTTTCTATTAGGTGCATGTAGCATGAATAGAGCACCTCTTTGAATACTAATATGTAATAGGTGCTGATGTCAGTGGCGGATGTAGATGGTGTGATCACACCCCTTAAATTATATAACAAAAATAATTGTTTATCCTTAAAAATATAGTACGGGTAAGATTTTAAAAGTATGAGAGTGCAAATTCTGGGCACCTTGAGGTCCCTTAATAGGGGTTATTGACAGTTGGCGCACTCAGAAAGTGTCCCCTTCCCCTTTAACAGGGGCGTCCCCTTAATAGAGATTGGCTGTAGTGAAGATATATTGCCTGTCGTTTCACAGAATTGTGTCCCCTTAATAGGGGTGTCCCCTGAAGGAGTGTCCCTAATGAGGGGTTCTACTGGATGCTCAAATCACTCTCCTCACATTCCTACCCCTCCCCACACAATAATTTCATATAATATTTAACTAAAATTAATTGAAAAACAGAGAAGGGAATTGTCGCCTAATTGTAGCATTTTTTATTACTGTCACCCTCATATAGCAATTGCATTAATATTATGATGTCGCCCTAATATGGCATGAGTAGTTAGAAAATATTAGGGCGACGCCAAAAAAATTATGTTTTGAATTTTTATATTTAATTAAGTATAATTACATATATTAACTAAGAAAAATCAATTTGAACATTTTTTCCATCAAAAATAAAGAAAATACTAGTGTTATGTAATGTTGCCCAAATGTAGCGTTTTTTACTACCGTCACCCACGTATAGCAATTAGCATTATTATTATTATTATTATTATTATTATTATTATTATTATTATTATTATTACTATATTATTATTATTAGGCCTATTATTATTATTACGTACGGTAGTCTAACAAAAGCTCGCCCTTGACAAATAACAGTAGAGAGGTGATAATAGTTAGAAAGGTGATAAAAGTTAATTAATGAGTTGCCCACCATAATGTTTATTTACAGCAAGTCTGTCATTCAACAATTAAAAAATGTAAATGACGAAAACATTTGTTTTGTATTTATGGTTTACAGTACAGTAATGTAAAATGAATATACAATATAATTGTAATTGAAATATACATGTAGACTGTAAATAAAATTAAAGCTGTAATTGCATTTTACTATAATGAATGTAAAATACAAATACAACAACAATGTAAAGTAGAAAAACAGCAACTAGTCATTTTACATTTTGATGTAAAATATATTGACAGAAATGTTGTAAAAAATAAATATTAATGTGATGTAATGTAAAAATACAGCAAATGTGATGGCAACTCTGCTGCCTGCACATTTGCTGTAAATTTACAGAGAATTTTTTTACAGTGTACGCTTTCTCCATCAGTAATGCTTCTTTTAAGAATGGAATGACTTGATGGAAGACCAAACCCAGTACTGTTTCGATTTTATTCGTGCGGGAAATCTACTCATGATGCTTTAAATATATTTATGGCATCTAGTCTACTGGACACATGTAGTGGATTAAGAATAATGTTTAATTGTTTCTATAACACGAGGGCATTGACATCGACATCACGTTAATGTTATTGATACAATGAATTGAATCAAAAATATACCACCAGTGTCATTCCTATTACCAAATTTAGAAATGTTTAAAAATTAATGTGATTTAATCCTGTTACACCAGGATTTGTTCTTGAGACTAAAAAAAAAACTCCAATCATTATGGCTTATTTACCTTACCTAAGACAGTAATTTACTGTATATTGCTATTCAAAATCTTCGCTTATTACCTAAACAAAATCGCTATAGTCAAATATAATCGATATCGTTATTGAACTCTTTAATTAAATTTCCACTACCATCAACATCATCATCATCATTAGAACTATATTTTGGAAATGAGGAAAAGTGTCTATATGTAATTTTGATCTATCTGTGGTATTACAAGCGTGGGAGAGCGGAAGAGAGGGAGGAGTATTTTTGGTGTGAATCACACCTATAACCCATGAAGTCCGAAGACTTGTTTACAGTGGGGGTCTTTCTAGTGGTGAACTGGATTGTGATATGTGGGAGTTGGAGGTCTATATGGAGAAAACCAAAGCCATCGTTTTCAGAAGGGGTGGAATAGTGACCAAAGACGAAGGTTGGACATATAAAGGTGACAACGTTGAAGTTATTATTATTATTATAATTATATGGGCCCTAAAATAAGCTCCCACATATTATAAAGGTGACAACATTGAAGTTGTACTGCATATTATAATTATCTGGGCCTTAAAATAAGGTCCACGGGAGCTTATTTTAAGGCCCAGATAATTATAATGTGGTACAACTTCAACGTTGTCACCTTTATATGTCCAACTTTCGTCTTTGGTCACTATTCTACCCCTTCTGAAAACGATGGCTTTGGTTTTCCCCATATAGACCTCCAAATCCCATATACCACAATACTTTTCGATGGCGTTTAATATTTACAGCCTTACAAATTAGGATATACGGTACAGTTGTATACAAGGTTCCGAACATCGAATAATGCGGTTTTAATAGTAAGAAACAGGGGTGGCGCCAGGCCCCCCCCCCTTCGGGGATAGCTGCGCCCACATCTCCACCCCCACCCCTACCCCGTCGGGGAGAAAAAGTTGGGGAGAAAAAAAAATATATGTATTTTGTACAAATTACTAGACACTAAAATCGAATAAATAAGCCTTTAAAACCCATAAATTGTCAAAAAAATGTGGGGGCTGCGGCACCCCCATTCCACTTTTGGAAGATTAAAGCGACGCTCGGTCACGCCCACTTTGCTCTCGTCAAGGAAATCTTCCCCCTCGTCGGGCATCGTCCCCCCCCCCTACACCCCCGACCTCGGACCTATCCTCGGGCAAATCCTGCCGCCACCCCGGGTAAGAAAGAACATATGAGAGCTAGAATATAAAAGTTATTCGGGTTTAATTATTTAGACAGTGCATGATAGGGACGTACGGTACGGATATGCTTACAAATTAGGAAAGTGGTTTATGTCAAAATATTCATACCGCTCTCTAAGGTCTGCTTATAAGGCATACAATTTACTGGATGCACTCCACATTGTTTAGAAGTTGGTATACATTTGTAACATTTGCACGTATATTATTTCTGCGGTTTGTGGGTAGGTTACAATCAAGTGTTGTTATAATAGTAAAGTGTACGCAGTTGTAGCATGAGAGGTAGATCATGGGGGTCCTGTTACGGTAACATGATTTTTTTTTTCTCACAACCAAAACAACTCCTCTGCCAAAGCATCATAGTGAGACTTTTTAGTTTGCATCTTGTGTTCATGTTTGTCTTGTTAGTCTGGTTGTAAAACTGCTGAAATGAACTTTAGAGGGAAAAAAGTAAAGGAAAATTAATTTTTGGTTTTTCTGAATCAGCATACCCTATAGTG